TCGTATCTTACAGTAGGTACTGATTCACTAGGGACAATGTTGTGTGTTTTAATAGACTCACCAGCGTATCTTACAGTAGGTACTGATTCACTAGGGACAATGTTGCGTGTTTTAATAGACTCACCTTCGTATCTTACAGTAGGTACTGATTCACTAGGGACAATGTTGTGTGTTTTAATAGACTCACCANTCGTATCTTACAGTAGGTACTGATTCACTAGGGACAATGTTGTGTGTTTTAATAGACTCACCATCGTATCTTACAGTAGGTATTGATTCACTAGGGACAATGTTGTGTGTTTTAATAGACTCACCATCGTATCTTACAGTAGGTACTGATTCACTAGGGACCGTCTTGGTCTGAGAAAGCGATGAATCAAACTTGGAGAACGCGTTCTTGTTGCATTCATCCTTCAAAGAGGCATCTGTACGAGAAAATCGTTAATGAACACTGCTTGAAAATAGTGATAGAACGATAAACTTGAAAGCATTGGTGTCGAGGATTTTAGAGGAGGGAATGTCAATCTTAGATCCTGGAAGGGAAACTTTTTAAAGTGCCTATGACACCTAATTTTAACGTCACATCATTAATATTTTGGAAGCATAAACCTTAAAATCTCTAAGATGCATCACTCAAATCATATAAAGATATTCTTACGCGGGGAATTTCAGTCAATCCCGATGATGGATTTTTTCTCTTTTCGTGTCCATTAAACTCATGAATAATATTGCGTTAGCAATGAACACCCCGCGCATTTTAACTCCATCCCAGGAATAGTCTGTCTGAATTTACCAGATTTCTTTAGTTATCCTGGCATGGGGTTTTCTCTTTTCGTGTCCATTAAACTCATGAATAGCGTGTTCGCAGTGAACACCTCAGATAACACCCCGCGGATTTTAACTCCATCCCAGGGATAGTCTATCTGAATTTCTGCTTTACCAGATTCCTTGCTCCACATTGTGTAGTTATTACCTACCGGACTTCTGTAGAGTTTTGACTTTCTTGATGACATGTTTTGGTTCGCGAGGTTTGCCAGCCTTTGAATGATCATTGATGTAATCGGCTATCACGCGCCATCTAAAATAGAAAGGAAAATCATCACTGAAAAAGACTAGGGGTTACCATAGTTGAGACTGTGTTGGTGTTGAATACCACAAATGTAATACCCCGACGAAGGACTAGCGTCCGAAACGTCGGTAAGTTTTTTCATCTTTTCATGGTTTATAATTTACCTTTTCATCATTACTGTTTCATTAGAAACACTGACGCAGCTCACACTAGTTTTTAGCTAGTTATCTCTTCATACATGTGAAACGTTTTTTTTTTTTTGTTTGTTTCCATGCTTACCAAGGAGAGATAACTTGCTAATGAAACAGTAATGATAAAAAGGTAAATTATACACCGTGAAAAGATGAAAAAACTTACAGACATTTCGGACGCTAGTCCTTCGTCGGAGTAAAAGAGCATACACCGTGAAAAGATGAAAAAACTTACAGACGTTTCGGACGGTAGTCCTTCGTCGCAGTAAAAGAGAGTTATGAAGATCTTACTGCAATTTTCATAAACATGCGAATCGCGAATCGTGTCTCCAAGTTGCACGCTGAAATTTGGTTTTATTCGCTGCCGTCAATCAAAAATATGAAAGGTACCGACTGATTAACTTAACGACACATTATTCAAATAAAAAAATATTTCACCATTCAACTATTCACTTTATGTAGAATCAATACTGTAAGTATTGTATCAGGGGTTAGGTAGACTTTAATTTCAATGGCATTAGCTGTTTGGTTTGTCAGCTTTACAGGGCATAGAAAAACAAACTGTACTCTTCAAAACCTGGTTTTCATTAGCGACCCTCGAGACGGAAGCATAAGAGCATGCGCAAGACAACGCACGAAAGACAAAATCTTCCGTTCTCTCGTGCTTGCGTCGCTTCTTTTCTCTATTAGTATAGGAAATCGCACGATCTCGAGTACAATTTGGAAATTAATAGACACGAGTAATGTTTTGAAAGTTCTTGTAATTGCACGAGCCTTTAGGCGAGTGCAATTAAGAACTTTCAAAACATGAAGAGTGTCTATTAATTCCAAATTGTACGAGAAGATCGTGTGAATTTTTGTTTATAGTTTACTCAACAAAATTTCAGTGTAAAAAATGCGGAGCGACGCCGATCATCTTTGTCTATTTGGCGGCCGATTTTCAGTCCATCTCGCAACTGAAATGCATGAAAAAAATTAGTTCTTACGGCTTTAAAATTTTATTTATATGTTTTTTAAGTACAAAATAATTGTTTTGACATTGTTTTGGCCGTGTTGCCATAGCGACTAAATTTAGTACTCCTACGGAGTACAATTAATGCTATAATTGTACTCCTCTCGACCAATCAGAGTCGAGTAATTTTGTTGAGTGTACTATAAGTGAAGAAATAGAAAACACGCGCGCGTGCTGTGTGCAATCATAAAGCACGCGGGGGTTGGCAGAACACGAGAGAAGTGTTAGGAGAAGCACGACGCGTAGCGGAGTGCTTTTGGACACTTCTCGAGTGTTCTGTTAATCCCCAAGTGCTTTAGAACGGCACACAGCACAGCAAGCAAGTTTTTTATTTCTTTTATAAAATACAAATTACAATAATAGATAGGAATGACGCAACGCAAAGTGCGCGCGCGTGCAATGTGCTCTCATAAAGCACGCACTCCAAACCAATGAGAACGCGACATTCATAACAGTTATTTCATAAAGAGATTTAGCCTCAAGACGCGTACGTCAAGTTTCGTGCGCGCGCCGTCTTCAACGTAGTTAGCGTTCTAGACAGGACGTAAAAATGCTGCGTCTTTCAACCACGTTAAGAAAAGCAGACGCACGAAAAAATTCGCTTGCGCCGTCGTCTTTGACGTACGCGTCTTGAGGATAAATCTTTCTAATGAGAAGATGAGGTTGCGTCGGCTTGCGTTGCTAGTGAGYACCAGGATTAAAGGAACCAGTGTACCTTGAAACTGTTCCCGCAGGGAAAAGATTGACAGCTTTAACGAGTAACTGTGTTTGTTCGATTGTCCACTGGTCTTGTTCTTCACGTTCTTCGCTTTCTTTCTTACTTCGCGCAAGAGTAGCCTTCTGGTTTTCTTCTTCCTTTCTTCTTCGTTCTTTTAACGCCTCTATCTGAAAATAAAAATATTCAATATATAATATATAATACATTCATTATTATTTGAATATTATATTGCTAACCCATAACTTGGATTTTGTTCCAGTATTTTAGGAAGTTGTAAACCTTTTTAATAGATATAACAAAAAGGCATTTTCGTCCAGTGTGATAACAAAAAAATTGGAAACCATATAGTTATAGGCGATTTCTACGACCCATAAAGAAAAGCTTTTGTCTGAAGTGAGCTTTTTTTTCCCAAGTTATTATCCTTTTCCCCAACCAAAAGAAACTTCAAAGTATTTTTCGTTAACAGTATTTCAAAGTTGTGCATGTGTTTTCCATAGCGCACGTAGTCTTGCCCGAAAATGCATCACTTTCGAATCTGAGCACGGGATACTTTTGACACTCGTCTTAAAGCGCTGAAATACGAGACACAAAAACGTCCAATTTGTCGCGCAACATTGTTGCAGTGCAAGTTCGAAAACAATGTTGCTCGTTTTACATCCTATCTATCCAACTTGTCACGCAACAAAATCTAATGTTGCAAGTTGGGACTATCAAGGTGATATTCTGCACGCTGATTGGCTACAAGCTACATCATTCAAGATGGCGGCCGCTTCTGCACATAAAATGTTGCGTGACAAGTTGGACGAGTGATGAAAAACGAGCTACAAATCGCAAATTTGTTGCAGAAAGTTGATCTACGTTCTACTTTTTGCAACAAGTTTTCCCAACTTGCAACAAACGATTTTGTTGCGTGACAAGTTGGATAGATAGGGTGTAAAACGAGCAACATTGTTTTCGAACTTGCACCGCAACAATGTTGCGCGACAAGTTGGACGTTTTTGCGTTTTTGTGTCTCCTATCTCAGCGCCTTAAACTTCACTATTCTCTGTGTATTTTTAGCGTGATCTCCCGGCGTTAATGCGCTAGACGTGAAATGTCATTTTGGCCTGAACTACACAAGTCTAAACGATTGAATTTTTTCCTAATTTTATTTGTCGTCTAACACGTGTCCCTGTGCTCTGTTAGACACGTCAAGAGCTTGTTTTACATCGAAAACGAGCGAGCGCGCGCGCAGTAGCTTCTTGGAAACATCAGCATACATTCGAAGTTCAACGACTTGAAGCAAGTGCTGTGATGAAGAGAAATGCCATCAGATATGGGGGATAATCTAAGTAAATATTGGACAACAACTGACATACAAACACAACGTAACAGGTAACATCTAAATGATATATAAATGTAAAAGTTGTCTAGTTTAAACATAGTTACTAGAGTGAAATTTCCTTTGCCTCGGCTCGGAATATTCGGTTTTAACTTTTCTTTTGCAGAGTTTTCCATTTAAAAAACAAATAACAATCCAATTTCATGTCGACCATTAATATAGCATGTTAACTACCCCTCATGCACTCCTCCAAAAAGTTACACCGAATCAAAACATGGCGACCAATTTGAATAAATAAAATAAATAAATAAATAAATAATGGGTTCTTATATAGCGCATTTTAAATATCGCAATGCGCTTCAGATTCATAACCAGTGGAGGACTTTACGGGCTGCGTATTAAGGCGCTAATGGCAGACGTGCAGCTTACAATCATGGGTGTGAAATGTTAGTAGATTAGTAGATTAGTATTATTATTAGTAGTATGCCTCCAAATTGGAATAGCAATTGTTCTGGAGCGACTAAGCTCGAATAAAATGAGCGTTTTCACACACATGAGAGTCTAGTCAGTCCAGAACAAACGTTGTTCAAATAGGTCGTCATATTTCGATTCGGCCTATTCTATTGTAGAAATTATCCGTGCGTGGTATCGAAAAGTAAGAATGACGCAAGAAACGCAGCAGAGGGACATTCTAGTCCACCAAGAACCAAGAGCATTTGAGGACGACCTTCAACATTTGGATAATCAACCTCTAGCCTTACACTTATTTAGAGGTTTGACAAATGAAAAGTTGGATGAAAAACTAAGGTATTTTAGAATATGATGTCAGAGTAACGAGCTGATCTGAAATAGTGACGTAAAAATGACGTCACTGGTGACGTAGAAATGACGTTACTGGTGCCGTAGAAATGACGTCACTGGTGACGTAGAAAAGACGTCACTGCAAAACTGAGGTGTTATGAAGCTTGTGAAAATTGACCAGCGAAAAATAAAAACCTGTTTACCATTGCAATACAAATGGAAAACTCTTTAGTTATTGTTTTGCTGCTATCAACCTCTTATTAGTAACGTTATTTTTTAATTATTTGGTTGCCTGGAAATCCATAATTTCAAGGGGTAAAGTGACACCTCACTTTTGCAAATTTTCTTGATTCTGATTGGCTAAAATTTTCTCTCGGATCAGCTGGAAGTACGTTGCTTTTTATGGGAATGTTTTTTGGTTTCCAACACCAGTTTTTTTAAGAAAGACTTTTCTTGGTCCTCTCCCCCCTCCCCTCCCACTCCAATTCAGCTGGTACGAGAGGGTAGAACATAACTGGATTTTAGCGGATTTTTAAAAGTAAATAACAGACCTTTTTACCTTGGGCGGAAACTAAATATTTTTCGATTTCAGACCACGCGTTTTGAGAATAAGATTCTTTGTTTGAGTTGTGTCTTCTCATGTCCAACCATTAAACAAAGAAATAATACTCTTGGGAATGAAACGGGGTCTGTAATGGGAAAACATTGCACACCGGCAAGGTAAAAAGGTCTACATAATTGCGTCAAAATTGGTTTCGTTCTTTCCTAGAATGATACGCAGCCAAAGGAGTCTTCTTCAATCTCGAATCATTCGACTTTTGGATGAACAGGCGATGATAAACAGACGAAGAGCAAGGTTATTGAAGCTTAAAGGAAACATTGATGAAAATATGTGAACAGATGCAACGAAACTATTTCAGTACGGTAGTCAGAAATCAATGCAGCGAAACATCAAATATTAAAACTTTGGAAGGCACTTTCTCTTGGTTTGTTGTCCTTTTTCTTTTAGATTAGAAGACTTTTAATGTAAAGATAATTGTAATAAACTTCACATCGAACACACAGGGAGTGATTGCTCAGACTACCGAGCCATAGTTTCACCTCTAAAGCACTCGACGCCAGATTGAATGGACTACTTCGACGGTACGGTGGCCATCTTGGATTTTATGGCATTTTTGGGCGTCCAGGGATCAAATCGAGCTTTCTTCCAATAATGACTCACCATAAGATAATACAACAACATTCTCGTACCCAAAGCCTTCTCAGCTTTCTAACGAAAAATCGAAGGTGAATAGGTGGCACACCGATCATCTTTACCCATAAAAGAAAGACAAACAAACGAAATTCTATACATTTCAACAACGTGTTAGTTACCTGTTGTTGGTATACTCCATACACTTGTTCCTTGGTCTCTCCCTTCTCCATATCTTCCCGGAATGTCTGTAAACTGATCAAAATAAAAGTAATTGATGGTTTATACTCATTCTAAAAAGAAAACAGAATGCATGGCAACCATGTTGGTTAGACAGCTTACATCATATTATTATTGGAAGCAAACAAGTCAAAAAAAAAAAAAAAGAACACATTACAGTGCGAATCGAAAAACCTTGGGCACCTAGAAATATTTCAAGAATGTTTAAAAGCCAATCAGAAGCGTTATTTTTATCTTTCCGTTATCTTGTGGTTAGAGAGTCAATTCTAATTGGCCAAAGAAGAATAGAACATTTCTAGAATATTCCTAGGTGCCCAGGGTTTTTCGATTCGCACTGTAACGCAAACATCTTGCGTTTTTTTTTTTTTTATGCGAAGGAACTTACTTTTCTAAAGAGAGTGATTCTAGAAGCAAATCGAGTTGCTGCATCTCTTCTAGTCTCTTGGGTTCCTCTTCACAAAAATAGTTGTGATTCTGGAGAAAACAAACGATTTCTTTGCATTATAGTGCGAAATGAGATATAAGAGGTTAACCTTATCGAGAATACCCTCCTAAGATCGAATAGGGACTTTAAAATTGAGAAAGGAAAACGGGAGAACCCGGAGAAAAAATCTCGAAGCAAGGGAGAAAACCAACACAAACTCAAGTCACACGACACAAAGTCACAAGGGTGATAGGTGAGTATGCCCGCTGCTACGCTACTGCTGAAAAGCGAAGACAAACTTTTAACGGGTTCGGAATTACCTTTCCGAAATAACATATCAACCCTCAATGCTGTTTTGATGGTTCTGCGATTTTAAAATCTCCTAAACTAGAATGCCAGTTACTGCCTCCCACCCCCTTCCTCCCTCCCTTTCCCCTCCTTCCATGCCACCTTTCCCCCTTTCCCCCCTTTCTCTCCTTCCCCCTCCCTTCCTTCCTCCCTCCCTTCCCCTTTCCTTCCTTTCCCCTCTTTTATTTCCCCTCCTTCCATTTCCCCTTTCCCCCTTTCTCCTTGCTTCATCCCTCTCTCCCCCCTTCCCTCCT